CTTGTGTATGCCGACGACACGGTTCTCCTTGGGTCTGACGCAGTACATATGAAAACACAACTGGATAGACTGACGCATAGTGCTGCACGTTTCAGCATCTGCTTTGTACCTTCAAATCCAAGAGTACAGTTGTAAGCCAATCGATACGCCACCGGTTCTCACTCACCCAACAGCCAGTGGAAGTGGTGGATCCGTTCACATACTTTAGTAGGTGTGTCACCTCTGGTTACTTCTCTTATCATCAAGACTCGTGTGGTTTTCCAGAGACTCAACCATCTATGGGGACCGCGTGATATCAGTCTGTCACTGAAAGGTGGGGTGTGTAATGCTGCGATGAGGCCAGTATTACTGTATGGATCATAGTGCTGGCCAGTTCGCGGGGATGCCATTAAGCGCTTGACCGTGTTTAACAACCGGTGCTTGCGAAGTATCGCTTACATCTGGTGGGAACGCCCGATGAGCAATGCAGAGGTTCGCCAGTTGGTTTCTGGCACAAAATCTTTTGGTGCCTCACTCGATTGTTTTCTGAATCTTAATCGCTTACATCGACTTGGTCATCTCATCCGTATGCCCGCTACCGACTTCCTCGACGTGCATATACGCCGTAGCTACGCCAAGTTCGTCGAAACCGCGAGGGGGCCAGTCAGTGACATGGTATAGAAGCATAAGGTCAGGCCGGTGCATGCCGTCTTCTTGGATGGGGACTCTGGAATGGTCCACAATATTGGTTGGTGACTCTTTCAGACATGGCACGGTTGCGCAGTCAGTGGCGTTCATGCATTTACCTGTCAATTTTCATCCCATCCTAATTACTTTAAAGCACCTTGACCCTATTATCTTTACGTTCCATTTGCGCTAAACCTTGTTTTCCTATCGTTATTATTCTCGCGATGTGTCGTGGCAACTCCATCCATTGCACTTCTGTGCTCGGATCATCGTTGTCTAACTGAACTGGCCTGATTTGTCGTTTCCCGGAAATGGGTGAGCGTTGTGTTGTGTGAGCCGAGTGACCATCAGCTTGTAATCATCCACCATCTTTTCTATATACTTATCATTTTAGCGATCAGTACTTACGCTCTTCCACACACACACTATACACGTTAGCTAGAGATGGGAAACACCTCAGCTACTGTGACGCAATACCTAAAAGAAAAAAGCGAATAAAATGCAACAGGTGCAAGCTAGCTGAGCTACCGGTAACCGATGGGCATCGTTTCGGTAAGCTATCCACCGGCTACTATGCAGCAGAAAAAAATTATTATTCGTGATTATAAAATGCCAAATAATGTAATCGTGGTTGGAGGGGAGGCTAAGAGAGATGGGGTGGGACAAAAACTCAGCACGAACGCCACTAAGGTCGGCTGCTAGCCATATCAACAAGTGTACCCAGCCAAACGTGTTCGTCGTCATTCGGATTCCAACCAGCGTGCCGAGACGCTTCGACTGAGGCCAGCTTCGAATCGAGGGCTTTCATTACGCTCGACCAAGTCATCGCTTGGTCACCTCTCTTCTTCCATCCACACACCCGGCGCGCAAACAACGCACGTTGCGGAAGTCGATGCGCTGGCATGCGTAACACGTGGCCGAGCCATCGGAGCCTGGTGCGTGAAATAACGGTGCTGAGCGGTTCATTTTCTTTTCCTGTGCCGTAAACAAGGCGTCAAACACGCTCGTTGCTCACGCCGTGTTCCTACCAGATGTGAGCTAAATTGCGAAGGCACCGGTGCTCGAACGTAACTAGCCTCTTTATGTCCGTTGATCTAAGGGGCCAGGTTTCACCTGTTAGTCCTGCGCGACTTTGAAGCTTTGAACCAGCCAGCCAATCGGACCGCACACATCCGGCTACTGATTGGAATCCAGTCAACCAGAGAAGCTTCAGCCCGGGGACTAAGGGCAATACCAACACCGGCTTGGCCGGTGCTCGAAGCTGTATCATCACCGGATAAGCACAGTGAGAAACTGCTGCTGGTGTCACCTGAGGGGGATCGCAAATTGAGCACCGAGCTCGAGTCTTGCAGGCGGGTCTCCGATAAGCAGCAGGTATCGATCGAGAGGGTCTCTAATGTTCGGGCAAGTGCTGCCTGTTAACCGATATGTAGCAATGTGCGTACATTGAGGCATACCAAGCTGCAGGATGATCGAGGACTCCAAATGGAGGTCGATGAACTGGGCTTGGCAGCTTGGTTGGACATGGGCTTGTCGATACTGCAGGAAAGGCGCTTCGCGTTCACATGTGAGTTGAAACTAAAAGGTAGAAGCTTAGCAGAGCAAGGTGGGGGAGAGTCAAGAATTGGGGGGTTGAAAACAGGGGGATAAAAATGAAGCTGGAACGGGACGGTAAGAGAGAAAAAGCGTAAGAGGGGGAATAAAAAGATGGGAAGGTTTGAGCAGTAGCATCCAAACCCCTATCCACCCTGCTCGATGCAGCAGATAGGGCACCGTTGATTATCCTCTGCGGTGGCCAGGGCATCAAGAAACTGTTTGAAGAGAAATTCATTGCATTGCGTGAGCAGGATACTGTCAGGTTGCCCAGGCCTAGACAGGAGAACGATTAGGGTTCGAAAACCTGACCGCAAGGCAGCGGGTTTGGCGTTGGGCTACAAGGAGTCCGTTTTAAGGAATAAGGTGCCACCCTCATTCCAACCCCCAACTTGGAGGACCAGGAGGTTGAGTTTGTCTGGCCTCTAACCGTTGACCAATCTGGTATGAGTGACTCTGAAGGTGCAAAGAAAGCACCACCCAGAATAACTCAGTGGATCGCTGAGGCACACAAACCATCGCATCACGGTAAGGTCCAGCCTCATTGCGATGACTTACGCTCTCCCGTGGGAGGTTGGTGGTTCCTGGATGCCATCTTTCAAGTCATCATATTCCGGCTTTTAAAAAGGGTTTACCTCCATTTGAGTGTCTTCGAGATTTTGTAGCAAGCAGTTTGGGATTGGATGAACGATGAGCACCTAGTAAGTGGTTTGATGTCTTATTTCATACAACGGGACTGACTATTCTATGGCACTTTGTACTATATTGCCATGTCCTAGCCAGATGAAGTGTGGCTGTTTATTTTATCGGTCTCGTCCGAGTACGGCTTGATGTCAGTTGGTTATAAGGTCGTCACGCATGCTGAGGATATCAAAAATTACACTTCTTTCCTCACTGTCTAGTCTTTTGCACGCGTTTTGTCAATGCCCACACTCATGTTTGCACGTAATCAGGAAGTATCGGGAAGAAGCCACCTTTTTTTGGGCACACTTACAGAGACTAAAGTTGACAGGCATATCTCGACTACGTTCAGAGGCATCAGAATCTGTGTAAACAAAGGTATAGGCCCACGGAACTATCGGACTAATAACTCGGTGTGTTGAACATGGTTGGTACGGGAAACAGAACGCGAAATTGAAAAAATACGCTTTGCCTGCCTGCCCGTGTGTGCTTGAACTGAAACCTAGGCCTCAGCTGTCATCAGGTATGTCAAAGCAGAGCAAATGAATGCAAAACGCTAATTTGATACGCAGTATGCGTATAATCTGATTGTTCATCTACTTGGCTATCCCATTCTTTTTCCTTTTATCGTCTTTTTATGGAACGGCAGCTTTCAATTCATTTTTTTATTTGAGTGGTTAATACACTTATTTCCCTCGAACTGTTTTTGGGAAATCAAGCTTCGTGGAACCCTCCTTTTTGTCATCATCTCTGTTTTGGTCCAGTCGAAGTTGCTTTTCTGTACTGACATTTTCTGAGACCGATGCGAGCGTATAATACCTTTCGCAGATCCCTTTGTGTACTACTATACACCTATCTAAAATCTCTTCCAGATTGACCCGCAGTTTTATCGTACATTTTACATTTCGTCGGCCGTATGTTTTAGGCGTGCCAGTTTTTTCCAGAGTGGCAGTTAATTAGCCAGAATGAGGCATTATTGCTCAAACAGTATTGTTTACATTTCCGACTCCTTTTTTCACCAAATTAGTTGGTCCATCTTCTCACCTTTAAGTGGGAGATTCAGTGTCCAAAGTCTCGGGACTTAGGCATTTTCAGATGAAACGTTTCGTCTAAATAACCCAAATGGATGTATATCATTATCTTGTCGGCCGGTGGCCGAGTGGTCTGCGTTCCTGCTTTGCAATCATAAGGTCCCCGGTTCGAATCCGCGTAGGAGTGGGCTTCCTCGCGGTATACTCAGCCCGCATGCGACTAGTGGTGGTCGCGCGGCAGCGAAGCGCCGTTACGGTCTACAGCTGGCACATTTTCATTTTTTTAAATATCTTTGCCTTTCTTTTATAGTACTTTAGTTTGTTTCTGTATTGCTAACTAGCGTCCGTGCCCCACTTATTTTTTAACATTTTGTTGGCTGTTGTTGAAGTTCAGGACAGCCTATGTGGATACCTTTCCTTTAAACTTATCTTTGCAGTCCGCTTCCCATAGTTTTAGCTTTCCATGGATTCAATACTGATGGATCACTATTCTCAAAACTGACGGTAGTAGTTGGCTACTTTCATACGCTTGTTTGTCTGCCCCTTCTTCTCGACCTATTTACGGTCCACTACGCTACATGGCCAATCCGACACAACAGTATCTTTGTATTAGCTCATTGCTCTCGTTTTCGCTTCGGTTGTTTAGAATACACTCCGGATGCACCCTCCCGTTTTTTTCACTAAAAGTAACCTTAATATCTCTGGCATCCCACGCACACTATCGTACTTACTTTATATAAACTCCGAGACGTTTCGACATTCGTCGCTTTTCCATGCTTTACTTTCATATTGAAAATTGTGGGCCCGGGCTAAATACAGTTTTTTCTTTAGTTGATCAGCTCTCCGGGGGATTGATTGCTCGTGTTTACTTTACCCAGAGCAGCTCATGCCTCAGTTTTTTCGTAGATCTGAAAGATTTATAGGAACAATATATTATTCCTTCTTATTTGTTCAAATCAACGCGTCAATAAATATCACGCATTCATATATCACCGTGTACAAATCGATTTTGTTGATGTTTCTCTTTAGCTGACCAATCCACTCCCACTGCCGTGACAGACGCTCAGCTGTTTCCCTTCATTCTGAACCCTGCGGTGACTTCGGCTTCTGCTTCAAAATCCCCACTATCTGTTCAAACAACGAGTCCTTTCCCTGGCTCTGCGAAACATTCCATGAATGAAATCGCTGCGTTTCTAGATTCCTCAACGCATGTTTCTGCAAGTTCAATGCACAGTAAAACTTGCGATGTCACCGGAACTTCGTCTAATGGAAATCCGACCTCTTCACTGATCGCCTCAATAGTCAATCGCGGTATGGCTCCAAACCCAGCCACTGTTACCTCTGTCATTGTTTCCTCTCAAGCAACGAACGTCGCTCCGCCTCCTCTCCGGTGGGTTTTTTGGATGAATGGTTATCACTGTATTGTGTTGATGTATTGTCAACTTCCCCAAAAACTGCGGACTGCTTCACTATTCGTCATTCTGTAAGCTATTCCAGAATAGCACTGTAGGAGGAATGTGTGCGCATCTCGTCACTACCACACATGATAACCGATATACATATTTACCTGAGCATAGCTTATAACAATAAGTCTATGATGCAGCTTGGCCCCAACGTCTAGATTCGCTTAAGCATTCCAATTAGTTGTTCTAAGACACGCAAGACTTGCTTCCTACGACTTATCGCGATTTACCAGATAATAAGACGATATGGCTTAATATAACACCACAATTTCAGGCACCGAATCATGCCCGGTCACTTTTGGTCTATATCAGCTCCATTAAGAAAAATTCGTTGTTTTCGTCAGCACGGTGCCCACAGGTGCAAGAAAGTTAAGTAACTTCGTGTCGAATCCACTTAGGTACGTATTTTTATTCGGATAGTCTATATCTTTTCGATTTTCTTTGTCTAACCCTCTTACCGTAGTACGTGATTTGGTACACAGCGTGGGCTTTCTTCAGCTTGTTATCCCTCCTTCATTAGAGGCATCTGTAGTTTTACCTGACGCCAGCTAATTGAGCAACCTATTGTTTTCTCCGTAAAACGGCTCATGCGTCCGGCTATCATCAACATAACAGAATGATTCTTCAAAGGCGACTCTAACAAGTACATTTTCTAAACCACTGTATGCCCCTCGACCATCACACTTAGTCGTCTTACGGAGTTCTGGCACAACCAGATTCAGTCAGGCGGCCACATTTACGTTCGGAAAAGCGCTGGGTAGCCGCTTAATCATAATGGGACTCATCAACAGCGTTATGTTGCTACCGGCAACGCATGCGACAGGATACTGATATTGCCGATCCCGGCCCAATAGAGCTCACAAATCAAAAAACGGAGATCTTCAGTAGCGTTCCGGGCACTATGGCCTTAATTGCGGCGATGTCTGTTAGGAGGGGTATCTTCTAACGAATGGATCAGTAGACCCTACCTGGACTAAACTCCAACCTTTTTCCAGAAATCAAGTAAAATAACCGCATTGGTTGATCAAAATAACCTTTCCCGACAATCTGATATTATTCTTAGTTAATAAAGAATAGAAGAGAGCAACGAAGGCACAAGGTCAGTAGGAACACATAAATATCGGTAGTCTACGGCCATTACACCGTATCTGGGAGCTTGACATTTTGATCGGCCAATCGGGGCGAACAGATTTTCTCGAACAGTCAAACAGAGTAGCCCAGTGCGACCTTGGTGATTGTAACAACCGGCGACGGAAAATTTTTTGATCGGAAAACCCGAAAATTTGAAGAAAGCCAGACGCAATTGCTCGGAACTATCTCTCAGCTTTATGCGGTTCATACAATAACAAACAATGAAAAGCAGCAGTCATCTGCGGATGCAGTCGCAAACAGCATTTGTGCTTTTCAATATAACCCTGATGCCAGCCTATCTTTCGAATCTTGGTTCAGAAGTTACGAAGACCTTTTCCGGTCTGAATTTACCGATGCTGACGGCGGATGGAAGTACAGACTGCTTTTTCGGAAAATAGGAACAAAGGAGCATGACAAGTTACTCAAACTTATTTCGCCAAAATGCCCTGCAACTTTTACCTTTGACCGCTGTTAACTGGCATTTTTGGCGTACGGTCTTTCGTATACAGCGTGCGGTACATCTACATGAAGCTCGTTAAGTGCGCGTCAGACGATTTCGTAACTTGCGTGAGTACCGTTAACCGCCATTGCGAGCATTTCATGCTAACATGCATGATGGACGGTCAGTTCAAGGCCCTTATTCTCGTTTTTGGTCTCCAAGTACCAGAGGGTGCCGGGATCCGCATCAGGCTGCTTAGCAAAATTGAGCAAGGCATGTCCATCACCCCCGAATGTCATCATCATCATCAACAGCAGTACATCAGCCATTTGAACTGATGCTTCGCTTCCATACAACCATGAGGACCTATGAAATCAATAATAAGAGGGAGAGAAGGGGGACTTACCTGTAAACCTTAATGCCGTAAGCAAACATTCAGGGTCAAGGCGCCTATACCTTGTGTAGACAACATACCGTCACAAACAGCTGGCTATCGTGCAAAGATAAGGCAGTATCGGCGAGACAGCTTCCTTGCGGCTTTCACTGCCCCGCGTCATAATCAGCCAGTACCCCGCAGATAACTCAGCACTAAACACACTTTAAACAGGCAATCCGATTAGGAGACGGCAGAAGACCCGCCACTGGTGTCGGTTGCGAGCCATGTCCTGTAAAGTCTTGAGCCAAGCACGAGGCGAGTCAAGTGGACTCCAGCCCGGAAGGCGAGACGGACCAATGGCACCCAGTTTGGTTGTCAGTGACTTCATTTCCCGCTGCCAAGTTAACTTCTGTCCATCTCGAGCTTTGCGCCACCCTACATCTGGCAGACTAAACAAGCCCGTCCTAGGTAAACGGTGACCAGGCATACGTAGCATTTGCTCGAGCCAGTGCAACTTATTCAGTGCTATCTGTTGTTCTAGGGAGCTAGCATAATTATACCAGAGGTTGATCAACTTGAAACACGACACAAACCTGATTGGCCAAGGCCGCAACCCATGTTCCGTTGATGTGCTTGCGAGGTCAAACCAGTGTGGAATCCCAGCGACGGTCCAAAACAGTGAAGTCCAACGGAACACCATCCGCATAATGGCAATGTGAGGAATGACACTTCGTCAAATGCTGCCCGTTCAAGAAGCATCTTTGTCAGAAATGCAACAAACGGGGTCACAAAATGGATCCTTGCCTTACAGCTGTTTTCAGCATGACGTCTCCAGCAAATGTTTCAAAAAGCCTGTACTCGGCCCCTACAATCTCAGCAGATCATGGATGCGATGCTATAGGGAATACCATATGCCGTTGCATACCTGGACGATGTCCTTATCATGGAAGAACTACATCAACAGACAGAACACATGCTTGATAAGATAAATAAGTATGGATTCCATCTGGGAATGGACAATTGTGAGTTTTTCATGACCTCCGTTAAATACCTCAGCTTTATCATTGATAAAGGTGGACGACCATGTGATGCATCAAACATCAAGGCGATTAAAGGCGTGCCCCCACCTAAAGACGTAGCGACATTCAGATCTTTCTTCGGTATCGTGAGTTACTACAGTACCTACCTACCGCCCATGCACGACCTACGCGGAGCACTAAACAGATTACTGATGATGTACCATGAGTCTGGGCCACCGAATGTCGGGAAGCTTTCGACAAAATCAAGTCGTCATTAAGTTCAGAACTGATGCTAACGCACTACGATCCAAAGCTGCCAATCACCGTGGCATCGGATGCATCCAGCTACGGATTTGGTGCAAGCATATTGCACATTTTTCCAGACGGCTCTTAGAAGCCAGCCGCTCACGCCTCTCCTTCACTGATTGCAACAAAAAATATAGCCAAATTGACAAAGACTCGCTATTGTGTATACCGCCAATCTTCTGCAGAGATGACTTTAACATCAAATACAGGCCGATGCACTATCACGACTTTTGGACAAACAACATTAACCACAAGACACCGTCGTTGCTAATATCTCTATTAAAACGGAAGTCAACAGTGCTCTCAGATACTGTGAGCCAGATCCCTATATCTTTCAGTCAACTTCGAGGCGCCACTTTTCGGGACCCGTTGCTGTCACAGGTGAGCGTGTTTCACCATTCACAGTGGCTAAGAAAAATTTCGGACGCGCACCTAAAGTTTTTCCTAAAGACGAAGTGAATTATTGATCGTCGAAGACTGTATCCTGTTAGATGAACTCGTTATACTTCCAGAACTCCAATTCAAAACTCTACGGCCGTTTTATTCGGGAAATCCTGGCTCCAACAGAATGAAGGCTCTGACGAGAAGTTATGTATACTGCTTGTGTATGTATTCTCAAATTAAGCAATTAACGCGTTCGTGTTCAAAGTGTGCTCTTGCTGCGAAATCGCCGCGGAAATGCGTATGTTGTTGAGAAAGCCATCTGAATGTTTCCTTCATACCCCTATTCGCTCTCATGGTTTGTCTCTTATTGGCTGATTCTGACCAACCGGCTTCAAGCGCCGCTAATCGGTTGAAGTGAACTTATGGGTATCGGCTTATTTACTGAATCCTACTGGATTCTAATTCGTGAATTTTACAAATCAGGTTATTCGTTGGTCTTGTCTATAAACCTTCCAATGTATTCGTCTGCTGTATGACGGCACTCAGCTCCAACTTGTCAATCAGACAACTAACTTGTCTGATTCCTCTGGCATGATTAACTAAGACCATAAATATCCAGTTGTCCTACACTTGGGTGAAGCTCCACATCTTTTCTGTAGCTCAATCTCGGTGAGTCCGTTCTTAATGCAGCTACTGGGGACTTCTGGAGACCGGTCAACTTTCTGTTTCACCTCACGTGGGACTCGCAGGTCGGTAAATGCACTGGTAAGATACTCGACAATGACATTGTGCCGATCCGAATAGAAAAACGAGTTTGTCGTCCACGTCGCACTGGTAGCCTAAAGATAACCGGCTTGTCTTGTAGGCTGACGGCGCGGGTTCCAGCCTGTTTAGGAGCAGGGCGACTCGCAGTATCCTTAGCCCACGTGCGACCGGTGATGGTTGCGCGGCAGCGAAGCGTCGATACTGCGTGCCGGCGTACCGCTGCTGCCTTTTTTGTGACACAGCAACTTGGCTATTTCTGTAAGCATACCCCTTTCTATTATCGGTCTGAGGAAATGAATCTCTAGAGAGCCAAGTAGAGAGTGCCCATCCACCTGGCAATACGTGTTTTGGCGATGAAAGCTAGGGTTAGCTTTGCACAATAACGGAGACTTCTCAGTCGCGATTGTCCTTGATGACAAACCGCCAGTCTTCAGCGAACTCACTTACCTGATGGAACTGGTGTTTTGAGCAAGTTCCACATCAAAGAAACACAATACAGGCTATGCA